GCTGTAGTCCTGTGAGAAGCCCGCGCTGGAGCAGGTTGCTGCCAGAGCCTGCAGCCTGTGGAAGAGTGAATGCCCATGCTGGAGCAGGTTGGCTGATGGGACTTTTGTGACATTGTGGGGGACTCACGCTGGAGCAGTTTCCCCTGAAGGACTGCACCCCAGACTCAGGAGGGGTGGGTTGCCCCTCATGAGGTGTCTCACATTGGGCAGTTTGTGATGAATTGTCCTTCGTGGGACGAATCATGCTGGAGAAGAGAGTGTGAGGCTTGTCTCCTGTGAGAGGGACCCCACAATGGCCCTGGGGAGGTGTGAAGAGTCCTCCTCTGGAGTGAAGAAGTGGTGGAACCAGCGTTGGATGAACTGACCGATTCCCTGTCCCCCTGCGCCACTCGGGGGGAGGTGGTGGAGAAACCGGGATTGATCTTAAGCCCAGAGAGAAGGCAGGGATGGGGGAAGGCGTTACTATTTTAAATTTTTTTTTTTCATATTTTTCACTACCCTTCTTTGATTTGTTCTTTTAATAAATGTAACTGATTTTCCCAAAATCACGTCTATTTTGCCTGTGACAGTAAACGCAGGTGATCTCCCCATCCTTATCTCAAACCACGGGCCCTTTGACACATTTTCTCCCCGTCGAGTAGAGAAGGGGGGGTGAGAGAGCAGCTATGTGGGCACCTGGCTGCCTGCCAGGGTCAAACCACAACACTAATGTAGTTGTATTCTTAGTATTTTTTAAATTGAAATTAAAATAATATTCTTCTGTGGAGTGTTTGAAGTTACAGAATTCTTTTTCCTGACACATTCAATTTACTAATCTTATTTTCCAGGTTTAAATATGGTGCTTCAGTAGTTGCCTTCTAGGCATCTTACCTTATAGTTTACACTAGTTTGAGCTAGCACTTTTTTTAATGCTAGTAGTTTTCCTTAATTTTGATTCATAGTCTAAACACCATCAAGTTAAGTAAAATAATGAAAAATACCTTCTCTTCGAAAAGGTATGATTTGCCAGATTCTAATTCCACAGTTTTAATCAACATTCTTGCTTATCCAATTGCTTATTTCTGTATATGTTTAACTGGACATGTCCTTGTAAAATTAAATTTAGAAAAACCTCAAATAACAAATCAGTAACATAAAATTTCACAGGGAAAGGATTATTTCCAGACTGTCGAGTAAAGCAGGATGTTTTGAAGAGTCTTAGAATTTGAGTGGAGAAGCCCTCTGACAAAATGCATGAGTATAAAAATCCCAGTTACAGAAGGAGAAATGTGTCTTTTTTTAATTTCTTCTAGATTAATGCAATAAAAGATAGTGTTGCTCCCCTGTTGTATTTTAAAATGGGTTAATACATTTTATGAATGCAATTAAGAAAAAAAAAATTAATAGCAGTAAAAAATATTCATATAATACTATGTATTTTATAGTCAATATTTTCCCTTATAATACACATTTAAAACCCCAGTTTTTTAAGATTCTGTGAATATTCTGAAGAAATCCATTTTGGGGAGGGTGAAAAGTAAAAAGAACAGTTAAGATTGTCGTTAGCTGTTTGCTTAAAAGAGTTTACCTAGACTACTTAAAGTAGTTGCATCTTGTTTTGTAAATAATTTGTTTTGTTCAAGAGTAATCTCTCTCTCTGAAGATGCGTGTGCTGTGGAGAGTATTCCCTGTGTGCATCTGAAATTTGTGTGTGATTTTTTTTTCTTTATTTTTTTCGTTTTAAGCTTCATAATGAGGATGACCCCCCAGAGTCTTCAGCAGCTGAGCAGCCTTCCTCGTCTACAGAGACAACGCAGAGTCCCCCGACAGCAGCTTCACCCGAAGCAGATACTTCCCCTCCACCTTACTGTAGCATAGCTGTGGAAGCAGCTGCAACCTCAGGTATTTTTCTTACATAACAGCTTGTCAGGGAGGAGTGTGTATGAATCAGCACTTGAACCAAGTGGTACGATGCTGCGGCACGCCTTTTTTTTTTTTTTTTTTTTCTTCCCTCCCCTACACATACAATTGCAGTGTAAAGCTCTGCTTTCATGCACAGCCCTTTGGCTTGTTCAGAAGCACACTTCTGAATTATACTGATTGTTACAAATTACTAGACTAAATGAATGTTCATTGATTAATGTAATAAGTTTTATTTAATTCTGCATGTAGCACAGTTCCACATTTGATCTGCATCTTTGAGTAGTGCTCCATTATTAGACCTCAGTAGTAATTTTCATTGCCTCTTTATAGAAAAACCCAAAACAGTGAAGCAATGATTTGTCAAAACTCGAACTTCTTAAGTGTGTGCCATTGGTGAAAATATTGCCACGAAAAGAATCATTTTGCTTTAAAGCATCTTGATAAAACTGTGTGGAAAAATGAGTAATAGGTCTTTTTCTTCATTTATTCACTGCTCCTTCTCTCATGAGGTTATGACTTTTCTTTGGGCTATGGGAGTCTTAACAGAAGGCAACATCAAAGTTCCTGTTTAAGCAAAGCTGCTTGGATTTGCGTCTCCCATGTGCCAAATAAATATTTTAGAACTAACCTCCAACCTCATTTTTTTTCATGTTGATTAAAGGAGCAATTTCCTGTCCCTGTTATTTGAGACAGTGTTTGCAAGTGTAGCACATAGCTATGCGGAATTATCCCTATATATAACATCTTTGTGTTGGTGCGCTGACGAATCTTTTTACCGCGTGACCTGTGCTGACAAATCTTTACCACGTAAGCAATCTTGTTACAAACTACTGCCAGCTGTAGGAGGAAGCTCAAGGTGCATTTTAAATAGGTTCTATTCATTTTGTTACTAATTTGATTCTATGTGATGAAACTTTACTGTTTCAGTACATGAAAATAAAGTGTGTGGTCCATTGTGTTAGAAGGAACATTTTAAAAAGAATGTGGTGAAGTTGAGAAAAACTATTTTCACAGAACTGGAGTTAGCAGCAAGGCCATGCTGTTAAAAATACAGGATGGTCATTACTGGACTTAAATTATCAGCATAGATTAGTTACTTAATTTAATTTAATTTTTTAGCGTGTTTCTGTCTATGTCTTTTGTATGATAGGATAAAAAGCCTTTAGTTGGGATGTTTGGGGAGGGCACTAGGCAAATATGACTTTTTTTTTTGTGCATAAATTTATTGGCTTCTTCCAACGTCTAGGTTAAGGTTTCTGCCTTGAGTAGCAACTAAAAGCGCCATCGAGCTGTTGACTGTTTTATTTTATAAAAATAAAAGTTTGTTGTTTATTACTTTTAGACTTACATTGAAATAAAAATACCCATTTTAGCTTCAGTTGAAAAAGATACATTGTAAAGCTCAGTAGTTATGTGCATATAAAATTAAGTATTCCTGACATACTTCTGGCCTAAAAATGTGTAACCTCTCTTTTTTTTTTTCTGAACAGAAACACAAAATGAATTTTATCCTGTACCACCTCCATACAGTGTAGCTACCTCTCTTCCTACTTACGATGAAGCAGAGAAGGCCAAAGCTGCAGCAATGGCGGCTGCTGCAGCAGAAGTTGCCCAACGAGTAAGTTACATGGTTCTGCTTTATTTCGGCTTTGTGAAACGTGTTAGGCTAATTTAATTATAACAATAGGCCCCATATTATGACCTGTTTATTAAAATAATGGTTGCTTGGTGTTTTTAATATTTTGAGTGCTCTAAGTTTTGTATACATAGGATAAGTTAGTTGTAAAGTACTATGAAATGTATGTCATACACTTTTTCTGAGGCATAGCAGCCATCTACACAGCTTTAAAAGCAAAATTTTGCCCTGTTTTAGTAGTTTATCCCATAGATTGTCATCTTTTAATTAGGTATCTACTGCTAATGTTATTTTGTAGAGTTATTGCTGGTATGTATGTAGTGTTTCAGTTGATAAAAAAAAATCAGAGAACAAAGTAGGCCTTAAAGAGGAAGGAGAATTCCAGTAGTCTAGAAGGCGCAAACCCCCCAGTATTGTAGATCTTTTTTAAAAGGAGAAGTCTTTTGTTTTTTTCTGTTTCATGAAAACTTTGGAAAGTTTCTTTGAACTTTAATAGTAAATATTTAAAAAAACCACACACAACAAACGCACCATAAGTTATGGTCAACAGTAAATTAAATAATTATATATTCAGTGTTCATAGTTTTGTAAGAATTAATGTTATAAAGAACACAGTGATCAAAATAGAAAATTGCTGTCTGATACATACAGCTTCAAATTCAGTAACTGGGTGGATATTGGCTTGCACGACTAAGTTTAGACTGCTCTGAAGGAGGTGGGACTACAGATCTGCTGGTCCCAGAGAGCATTCTCAGATGTTCTGTATCAGAGTGTGATTACAGGACTAACAGTACATAAACCTTGTGACGCTCTTGACTGGTTTTGGTGAAAACACTGGAACTGAGAAATAGGAATTTCTGGTGTGCCCTGAAAGTTTTATTATTCTTGGCCTTTGATTAGGAGGGAAGGGGAAGGTCACTTGATTCAACTGTAAGGACATCAGTGGTAGGTAGAAGGAAGAAAGTCCACTCTGAGCCTCTGAGGCTGATGTGTGGTGGGGAGAGAAATCTGGTTTTGGTTGGGCAAGGGGGTGAGTGGCTCAAAGGGAACACAGGCGGGGCCAGAGAGGATGGCTCTAAGTCAAAATAAGAAGTAAGAATGGAGAGCAGTGGTATGGAGGGAGTACAGAGAGGTTTAAAGGAGAAACAGAAGGGAGAATGATGGACTGGGATTGGTGGAGGAAGGAACCCAAGTGAGGACAAAATGTTATGTTCGGAAAGGAGCTGAAGCCGGTGTGTGAGTAGTGGGAAGGAATATGGAGTAGGATATGGCTACAAAGTGAGAAATAAACTTCTACATAGTTCTGCTTTTCTAAAACATACACTTGAACTTGACATTCGTGAGCTAGGTGCTGACACTACAAGAATTTCACGGACAAAAAATCAGTAGGAACACCACCATCATTCCCCCAAAGCAGGAACAGGCTAAAAAGTGGTAGACTTATGGCAGTACTAAGTATCAGAAGTCTACTCTGTGCACCTAAAACTCACGATCCAGCTTACCGCTAAAGATCTCAAGTTTTGTAGAGTTTCTGCTCAGTCTGCTTCTGTGTTTTGGGTTTTTTTTATATATACACATATACATATGTATATATATTTGTTTTTGGTTTTTTTTTTAGAGTACACACACAAGCTTAAGGTTGCGAAGTTGAGATTTGGTGAAAAAGTAGGAAATACTGAAATTGAGTTCCAGTTTTGCAGACAATATTAAAATTATGTGCCCGTGCAGTTTAATTATTGCCTTTTTAATTAACTTACGATGTGATACTGCCACGAAATCCCTGCCTTATTTAATATCTCTGACAGACTTAGTCTGGGGTTGACTAAGACTGTGTAATAAGATCGTCTTAATCTGGCAGATGACTGGAATAAGAAAAAAAGGTCAAGTTGTGGTTAGAGAGGTGGTTTGCCATCTTGAGGGGAAGAGTTTTGACCCTTAGCTCTGAATACCCATGGAAGAACAGATAAGTGACTTTAAACTTTGCGTGACTGGTATGCAGTTGTTTTCTCGCATTCACTGCGGATCACAAGCAGTGGCAGCTGCAGACAGTATCTGACTCGTATATTAACACACTTTGCAAAACACACACAAAATACATGACACATAGTTGTGTCAGATTTTATTTTCATCCTTATAAAATTAGTACTTTTATGAACTCTGCTCTGATCCGGGCCTGTAGTTTCTTCCTTGCAATGTGAGGATATATTGCCTCTTTAAAATAGTAATGTGAACAGGTGGGAGAATTTAAATGCCCCCTTATGTTACCTTGAAGCTGGTTTCATGGTACAGTCCAAAGTGTGCAGTAAAGAAGGCTGCAAGCTCTCCTCATTGAGCAAAAGAGAGGAAAAAGGCAGCACATCTAGTAAACTGCTTTCGCATTTTTGTTTCCTCTGAATCATGTAGAGATCTTAGAAAAAACATTGATGTAATCATATTAAAGATGTCGTCATGGGCCCTGCGACCAGAGACTATATGAATGACCTAAACGTTTACTGAAATTTTCAGTACTTGTTTTTGTAATTCTTTAGTGGAGCTTGTATTTTAGTAGATTGTGAATAAACAATTTCTTTCAAATGCTCCCAGATAGCTAAAGTGTGTCAGAAATTGCAGCACCCCTATGCCAGTTGCCCTGGCTTTTGATGTTTCTCTTTTCAATTTCTCAAGGTCAGTTTTGAAAGATAATTTAAATGGACAAAAATACTGCTAATGGTTAAATGACTTGTTTGTATGTTGCAATGAATGGCTTTTACTTAATGCTTTTCAGTTGCATTTGTCTTATGTTTTTCTGTTTTTACATGCTTAGCACGCCCAGTTTAGGGAGTCTAGGAGTCTGTTTGATGAAATATTCCTCAGTCGTCCAGAGGTATGGTATAGTTCTCTCTAGTTTAGACTTTAACTATGAATCTTCCTTCTGGCAAACAGATGCATCTGGGGTTCACTGTGCCTTTCACCCCCCCACGATTAATTTCTCCATATTGTTTTGTATGCTGAAGGTATCATTTATGGGGTTTATTAAGTAATTTGACCCTTTCCTCAGAAGTTGTCTCCGTAAATTCACCGCGTTGAGAAGAGTTATATCAGTTTAGCTATCCAAGGGGCTCCTGAAAACCCGGGCTTTTTACCTGATTAAAGGTGTTTGTCTCTATGCCATGCTAACTAAGCTTCAATTTGAAAGAAGTTAAAAAGCATTGGAGGGAGGAGGGAAGTCCTCTTTTTGCATAATACAACAGATAGCACTGTACTTTTAGAGCATTTATTAGGCTTGACTTGAATAGATGCTGTGTGCTATTTGATGTTCTGCTTAGAGAAATTATTCTGTGTGATGTGCTGTTTAGATGTTTCTTTGGTCATAGCAACAGTAAGTTTTTCTTTTTATAGCATATTTAGTAATGAAGAAATACTGTGCATGATCCTTAACATGGCTAGATTTGTCAAGAATCATTACGAGATACTGAAAGTATTATATATTTTATGGATTTGTGTTTGTTGTTATATGACATTCATTAAAAAGAAGACCACATACATATGAATAAAATATATTATTGTCATTGATAGTATGTAACACAATTGTTACTGTGAAGTTTGGTTTAGGTTGAAGCATCAGCGGAGAGGACAGTCACTCTCCATTGTCCTTTTTGGTTGCTCAGGGAATGATGGCAAACAATTATATTTTGAAGAAAGACGGGGCACTTGACACCAACTAGATCAAGCGAGAGTGCGGTGAAAACCGGTGTTAGTGGGGCCTAAGCAGTGGCCAATGAGCATCTTCCATCTGCAGGGCTGATTGTAAAACCACATGATCTAAACTATATCAATATAAGTTGAACATGATTTAAGTGTAGGAAACTGATTTCTTAAATGTGCTAATAGTTTTTGTGTGCCAACTTTTGGAGACAGCAGATAGAACGCTCTTTAATATAATTACCTTCTGTCATGGAGTGTGATGAGTTACAACTCGTTCACACTTAATAATAGGGGAGCGCTTGCTTGCAAATTTCTGCTCTCATGTCCCTGGGTTGTATATTGACCTGTGTTTCTCCCACAATTAGCCTTAGAGAAGCCTGTGCATATAGAGAAACCTGCTAAACTTGTTATTGTAGTTGAGCAAAACTTTCTTTTTCTGAAGTGAAGTTTTGCATAGAGCATAATTCACTGATTGTTTGGAAATGTCAATATGAAGTACGTAGTTAGCAGACAGTTTAAAAAAAGAAGTCCAAAAATTTATTTTATATGGTGTTTTATAAACCTACTGAAATGAAAATTCCAAATATTTTTTTGTTGTCCTGACTCGAAAGAGGAATTTTTTGTGGCAGGCATTTCAGAGTTAAGCACATTACATTCAAGTGCAGCTCTTTCCTTAATGCAATTTCAGCCCACCCTTCCCTTCTCCCTCATAGTCTTGATGCTGTGGCAAAATTGAACTAAATAAATTAATGCTTTCATAGTCACTTAAGATGACCGTTTAGGGACATCTAAAATCATGTAGAGTTAAATTAGGGCCTCTTAAGATGGTTGTTGAACTAGCTTTTTCTGCTTTCCTTGGAATTGTCTGTGAATAACAGTGTTTTTAAAGAAAGTTATCTGATACAGAGTTGTGGTTAATTAAGCTGAAATAAAGAGCACAGCGGGAATTTCCTGGCCCGGTTGCAAAGAGTAAAGCTGACTGCCTGAATTCACTTGGTACAGTTCATTCTAGCACATTTTCAACCATAATCATGATGCCCTGGTAAATTATTTTGCTGTGTTGACAAAGGTGAACATGTCAGCCACAGGGCTTTAGGTCACTGCGATTGCTTAATGCTCTTTTAGTTATGAACTTAATATGCAAAATAACACTTAGTTCAGTGACTGAATAATGCGTTAAAATTAAAATTACATTATTTCAGTAGTATTTGCTGTGGGTGAAATAAGTAAATCTCATATCTCTGATTTTTTTTTTTTTGATAGGTCATTTCTTGTCTCAGTTTTAACACATTATGATTAATTGGAGAACAAAATAGGAAAAGAATGTTACTCATGCTTATGTCCATACCATATTACTGCTGTTATTGATAGCATTATTTACTTTGTATCATCCTGCATTATTTTGGTGTTATTCACTTAAGCACAAAAATAATTGTGTAAATGGTTTTACAGTTTTCATCAGACTTTCTTCAGTGAGTGCTGTCACCATGAAAACTTAGATTTGCCAGTCTACAGTTGCAGCAATGTTTTACTTGTGTGCAGAGCTGCCTGCGTAACATCTGCCAACTTCTGTGGAAAATCAAGTACTGAGAAACCAAACAAACTCATACTTCCAGTATCATAACGTTCGCTGTTTTGACACCACGAGAGAAATCGTTGGATTGTTTGGAGTGACAGACCAGTTTACTTTTGACTTAAAGTCCTTTGAATTAAGCCTACTTTTAAACAGCTTTAATGTGCTCACGCCCTCTAGTGTCCCGAGAGGCTCCCTTTGCTTTGCGTATGTTTTTGTGTCCGTTGTAGCATAGTCAAAATGGTTAGTGCGGTGCTATTGCATCAGCAGTTTATTTTAAGGTGCTAACCTTATTTTAAAACTTTGTTCTCTATTTTGAGAAGGATTTAAAGACTTATCTGGCAGGAAAAAAATAAAACATTCTATGTAATAGTTTTTTAAAAAATATTTAATAGCTTAGCTGCATATCAAGGCAGTTAAAGGTAAAAAGATTTCTGATTGTTTTGATTGTCAAGGTACTCATATAAACCAATTTCTGTCTTCATTTAAGATCAATAGGCAGTATGTAACTATATTGTACAGAAACTTTTACAGAAAATCTGGGCTCTGTCAATATAAGCAGTAAGTTGTTTTATAGATCTGAATTATTTTTCTCTTAAGCTTCCTTAATGCTGACATGTTACAGAAATGTCAATATTCTTCTAGTTTTAGAAACATAATTAATACTTTAATCCTACAGATAGTTATTCTAAAATAAACTTTTCACTAAATTATCACTAACCTGTAAATCCAGGAAGAAGAGTATCCACCACGGGATGATTTCAGTGATGCAGATCAGCTTAGAGTGGGCAATGATGGCATCTTCATGTTGGCATTTTTCAGTAAGTTATCTTGTATTGCAGACCTGCTGAGATATCTTAATTGTACTTTTTTTCCTGTGAAATATAAAAGGTAGCTGTGATAAACTGCATTTATGTACTCTAATGAATGGATTTTTCTTACCTGTACACAGATGCAAACAATTCCTGTTCCAGGTGTAGCAAATATGTTGCACTTTTTTTTTCTGTGGCATCTGTCACGGATAAGGGGACAAAGTAATATCGATAGTAAGTGTTTGGAGGCATAGCAAGGCTGCACTGTTACCTATAAATTGGGAAATTCTATTCTTGTCAAGTCTTGTCAAGTTGGACTACCAACTTGAATGAAAGTCTGGATCACAGAAATCTTGGACTTGATTTTTAAGTAAAAACAAATTGAGGGAGAGATGATGTGCCATATGAAAGTTGCTGATTTTAACATAGGGAATTAAGTAGCTGTGGGTGGATTTTTGGAACAAACTCAACCATGCTCATTTTCTGATTGAAGTAACCACTAGCGTAAAAAAATGTGCTGTCTTCAGGTAATGTCTGATTGCAGCCAGCACTCCTACAGCATTTATTTGGGTACCGTGTGTGCACACTGTGCATGTCTTATCTTGTAACTTCTGTACTGCAATGAGCAAAATTAGATTTAGCCACAAGTTATTACTGGAAAAAAAACTGCTTCTGTTTTACTTATTTCTTTCTGAGGATGTTTTTTACCTTTCTGAAGTAAATGTGTTCAGCAACCTGGATCAAAGCTTGCTGTTGGGGTTAGAGCTGTTCTTTTTAACATTCATCAGGGTGAAAGTTGATTGGTTATCCACTGAAACCTCCTTTACGTCTTTCAGCCTAGATCTCATCTTAGTTCTCTTTTCTTTTAATGTCTTTCACAGTCTCTTTATTTAACTATTACAGATGCAGGTTATAGACTTTTCACAGAAGATTTTTTTTTTTTTTTTTGCGTTGGCATACAATGCATCAGGACAATGTGATGTTTGCATCTTGGGATAAAAATACATGTGTGTACCTCATGTAGCAAATATATAAATACTTAGATAGGATAAGAAGGTGAGTTTTTTTTAGTCTGACCTCTTTGTGTAGCAGGACCATAGTAAGGGTATATGTTTTTGATGGCAAAGTGACGTATGACTTCATTTTTCTTTTGCCCTTTTTTCCCCTTTCCTGTGTGCTGCAACTTTAATTTAGATTCTGTATTGTGTGGACTCATTCTTGAGATCTGGTTGAGATCTTCATTAGCACTGCACTTGGAGATAAAGTGACTTGTTGGCTCTAATATGTTTTAAGTCCTTAAAATCGCAACTGAAAGCTGTTAGCTTGCAGCAAGGAGTACAGTGGTAGTAAAAATCCTACTGTGCAGAAATCGAAGGGTCCAGAAAGGCTCCAAGGATACTCACATGCACTTGGCCAGAACCGCTTACCCAGAGCCTTGTGTGCACCTTCAAGAATACAGATGTTTACTTGGATAAACTGGCAACTTGCTCTTCAAATAGGTGTTTAACTGAGAGTGACTGCACAGAAGCGCTGCTTTTAGATGTTGAATGGAAATACTCTGTAGATCATAATTTTTCTTGATTATTCTAAGACTGTTACTTCTGGCTTTGCTCACCTGTAAGTGAGATGCATGGAGTGTTTTCACATTACAAGATATTTGTACAAGTGTATGCTTAACTGAGATCTGTGTTGACTGTTACTGATACTGGTTACATATGGAAAAAGGTAAAGTTTACATGTTGTTTATGTTTGTAGTATGAGGAGTTCACAAAAGCTCATAGCATTTATAGACCTGCAATTAATTTTCAGTAGTGTTTCTCATGGAGATTGGAGAACTGAATGAAGAGTGAGCTTAACTTAATAAGGTTAGATTGTAAATAGTGAGTGGTGTATTCCTGTCCCTATATTAAGGAGATAAATCTCTCCATAAAGTTGATCTAGATTTAAGAGAGCAGGAATTAAAGTGAAACAACATGGATTTTTTTTTATTATTATTATTATTTTTTCCTTCAGAATGGAGTATATTTAAATGCTGCAGTTAGAGGTGGCAGATCACAGAGAACTTAGAATAAATTCCCTCACTTAGTTAAAAAGCAGAACAGTGTCAGGACCTGTCATTTAGTGAGAGAAGCATGGGAGGAATGGTTTCTTTCCAATGTGCTTCCCTACTCTCCTCCCCCGACTGTCACATACAATGTTGGTAAAAACATCTTGGGGAGGAGAGGGGCGGCGGGCTGCCTTTGTTTGCAATATAGAACAGCGAAATTAGCTTTTTCAATTTCATTTTATTGCACTGAAGTATACTAAAATAACGCTTTTGCTGATCTTACGTCCATATTGCAAGCAGCTGGTGATACGTAGCTACCATCTAGTGGTAGCTGACCAAGTTGCATAAAACTGCTGTCTTGAGGCCATCTGCTGGCCGGATCTATTTGTTTCAGGTTTTTGTCTTAGGAGTTTAGTGCAGGCAAGTTACAAACCTGTTTGCCATCTAAGTTGCAAAGTATTGTTCTGTTTAGCATCACTAAATAGAGTGAGGCAAGGTACTCTAGAGAGTAAAAGTCCTTTGTGTGAACAGGTGGACTTTTTTTTGCTTTGATGCTTGATTCAGAAACTTGGTGGGAAAATTTGGAAAACGTCCTATTTTATTTCTAATTTGTGGTAAAGTCACAGGTTATAAGAAATTAGTGTTGCTAGTGAAATCTGTGATTATGTTGGTGAATGAATTAATCTGTTCTCTAGTGGTCAGGGCTGGTGTTTGTCATTTTCTGATTTTGAGGTAAATGAATCTATTAGTCAATATATTCATTTTCCTGTGAATGTTGAAATGCAGCCAATTTTGCTATCAGACCACGTAATGTCTTCATTCTATAAGGGATTTTTGTCAGCAGTGCCTTATACAGCATGGTATAAACTTTTCAGAATGCCACTGAAAGTTGTTCATAGGGGAGTTTCAGAGTGAGTATATCTGTTTCTGTATGCGCAACAAAAAGAAGGAATTTCTTAGCTTTTTCTTTCCATTTTCAACACAGCTGTAATGGTGATAGAGCAAGTAAGTGCCATGACTTGAAGGGTCATGCTTCATCTGCCAGTAGTGGAAGTCTCTTGAGTCGGGTCAGGTTGGCTCGTCTTGGTTCCTTAAGTGAAGGAGATCTTTTGGGCAGTAGTAAAAAGCTTATATGGTTTTCTCTTCTATTTCACCTGTGGGCCCCAGAAGGAATTGCAGAGCTCATCTGGATTCTTTGAAAACATAGAAGGAAGTTTAGGGTTGTCCTCACAACCCAGGAAAAAATTAATGTTAATTTGGAGCTCACAGATGGGTCAGTAAGGAGGAAGAAGTGCAGAAGAGTGTTCAGTCATACAGCCAAAGTTGAAGTTCTTCTGTAGAGATCTGGTTTTTTCTTTTTGAACAACATCTGGGCAATTTAAACACTGTGTGCAACTCGCACCGGTAAAATCTCTTGATGTGGAGAAAAGTAAACGTACAGCCTGCGCACGTACCCGGATGCTTTATTGGAACAGGTAATAACCCTACCAAGATTTCGTAAACTAATATTCATACAGTTTTCAAGGCTAATGGATGCTTCAAACAGTCAATACAGTGCGCAGAAGCTAGGGATATGTACTTTGGGGCCTTCAGGCAGGCACAAGTGGGGAGGGAGAGTTTTGACACAAGCTCCGAGTGAGCGCAGTCTCCTGTCGCGTGGTTCCTGAGGAGTGGTGAGCAGGGTCGAAATTTCCTGTGGGAGAATTTGTCTGAATTTAGGAAACCTGACTTCTGCATATTCGTGTCAGGAATGTTGTGCAGGTTTCCCTTAGTCATGCAAGAGGAGCCGAACAGAAGTCGTTTGACTGAAATGACAAATGTTGGAAGGAAGTAAAGGAGCTGTTTTGGGAGTGCTTATTTCTGGTTATCAAAAGGGGTACTGGCTGACTTTCATACAGTCTAACTTCTTTCTTAATGTGGAAGGGATTTGACTTAGATGGTTTCTCCATGCACGCTGGAAAAAATAATTGGAGTGAAAAAGCCTCTAGTTGGGCATTAAGAAAAATTTACTGACAAGGGTAATGAAGCAGTAGAAATAAATTGCCTAGGGAAGGTTTTGAGCACTCATCACCGAGTAGCGAGGAAAGAAAAAAGTCTGTTGAAGTTGTTAGCAAATGCTTCTAGTGATCATCATCAGACCTCAGGTGAGCCTTTCAGGAAGGGGCAAAAATGTGTCCCCGTTGAAAAAAAACAGAATAAATTCTATGCAGGAATGGGAAGAATATCTTCTAGTTGTGCATGAAGATCTGGAAAGTATTATTTATTGTGGTGTGCTTAGTAAGCCTAGGCCAGGTATGAAACACTAAGCTCTTTGATATTTGCTGTATATTAAAATAATAAGTTAGTGAATGGACAAATAGGGGAATAAAGGAGTTAATGGAGCATGGTTGCATTTTGTTTATGTAGTTGCCATTATGATCTTGTCACAGGCTTGAGCCATATTTAAAAATTGGAACCAGTATAGGTCTTCAGACCAGTTTTGCTGGCTTCTTTTCGTGATACTGAATATAAACTCAAGAAGAGTCATTAACATGTAGCTGTGGAAAGCTAAGTGAAAAAAATATCAGCAAGTGAAGTGCAAGAACTACTGAGAAAAGAGCAGATTTGTTCTGCTATACTTGTCGGTACTGTTTCATCTTCTGATGTATTGCAATATGTACAACTTGGAACCTTTGCACAAGATTGCTTAATAACTGGAAAAACTAACTTTATTTACTGTAAATTGTGGGAGTAGAATGAAAGGATGTGTCCGTATTGCTTTGCAACTTAATGAGCAGTGGCAAAAAGCAAGCAGGAATTAATATCTTATTAATGACAAAGTAGAGTTTCCTACATTATCTTTGCCATGCCTCTCTAATTACTGGAAAATGAAGAATGGCAGTAGATGCAAGCTTCTTTGTCCAGACTAAGTTGAGGTATATTACTCCCATCTTCCTTGGGGTTGCTGATAAAAAAAAACCAAACAATTTTTAATTTCTAACTTTATTTTTTTAATATGAAAAATCCTATGATGACCACTGCCCCTCAGAAGAGGGCTTTGGGTAGGGAAGTAGCTGATGGATAACTTTATTTTATGTGTCAGATTCTAAGACTTTATAACATCTGGAGCATCTTGTGCTTTGTATTTTGACTGGGATTATTTTACTGGAAACTATAATGAGAAATATAATTGCTGTGGGTGCTACACTGGATATCAAGAAGACCTTTTATTAAAAAAAGACTTCTGGTCCAACCCTCCTCCTCCCCAAGATCAACTTCTTAGCTGTTTTTCACTATGAGTTTTGTTGTCATGTGGAAATAACTCTAATGATTATATTCTTTTGATGTAAATTGCATTAATACAGACTTACTTGCTCCTCCTGTTGTCACTCCAGGAACATATAAAGCCTCCAAATCTTACTTCAATCAGTTCCGCTTGTCTGTATGGTGTTAGAGTAGCAAAAGAAGAGACTGAAATCACGATGCCAGCGCAGTCAGTGCGAGTTTTGTCTAAATGTCTGGAACTTATTAGAAGAAAGAGGACAATAGCTGACTCTAAACACTCCATTTCTGGAGTAGGAAACAATTCTTGCTGTGGAGTGATTAGTCTTGCAGTGAGAGTTTAGAAGGTGAACACAGAATGTGGCTGCATGAAGAGGATGGACAAACAGTAGTTAAAAACCCTTTTTTCATTAAAACCAAGATGTGGTTGTAACAGCTTGTTAGGCTTTGTTCTTTGGGAATAGATTTATTCTTTATGGTAGCGTGGGTTAGTGTCAGACATGTTTTCTCTATGAGAATGTTATTAGAAGCTGAAGCAGGATGAAGGATGAGGTCGTCTCTTTAACTGCTGAGCAGTGATTTCAGCAGGTGGATGCAGGCAAATTGTGGAGGATTGTATTTGTGGAAGCAAGAAATGCACACAAAGACCAAGTTGTGTTTATTTAGTAGATAGAAAAGAAAGTAGATACAAGTAGGTGATATATGCTTCTTTTTGCTAGTCTGTCCACTCAGCATTGTATTTTCTTTCTCAGCTTGGTGGAGACACTTTTCTTGGCTTCTCTATGGCGATATAAGGATGAAAATTATGAACACCTCTTACTCCAGTAATGAGATGAGGCAGGAATTACACAGAAAATAACATCAGTAACTCCTAAGCAGATGCAGTGTACGCAGCAACGCTCGGTACAACTTACTTGACTGGCAGAGGATATATACATGGAAATCATGGTACATGGAAAAAGGTACAGATAGGTAGAAGAGGCTAATCTTGATGTGGAGAAAACCCATAGGAAGATAGATAAAAATCTTGTTTGTTGCAGTCTGCTTGGAAGCTGGAGATGCAATTCTGAAAGGAAAGAATGGATTTTGCAAGCAGAACAAAACAGGGAGGATGATTTTTTGGAGTAGTAAGAGGACACAGTGGGTGGGAGAGGGGCAACAGGAAAGGTTGAAAGCATATAGGTGTTATTGTTGCCAATTATAAGTTTGTTAAAATGATGCAACACCAAGGCAGTGTTGGGAGAATCTCCCTAGTATGTTGCCTAGGTTTTACAGAGGTGGAAGTAATGTTCCTCACGCTCCTGTGTGAGTTTTGATTAGGTCCTCACTGCAGAATTTTTCTAGTGTATGGTTACAGATTGAAACTTAAATAATGAGATGTTTTTTCCTTCTGTATGCATTCCAGTTTTAGTGGGGTATATGTGAACTATGCAAGTTCACAAGTTTTGTGTAGCTTGTCTCTTCTATTCCACTTGGATTGTTTGCTTATACAGATTGTTGGAGTATAATGGAAAAAAATCTATTGTGAACAACATTGCAATTTGTTGATACCTTTGCTTTCAGGAATTAGACAAACAATGTAGTGTTAAATATCCATTTAATACTCATCCAGTGACTGTAGATTCTATTTTGAATGTTCTTTAGATCAAACTGAAAGCAACTTTTTTGCATCCTTGTCTTTGGAGCCGCAGTCAAGGTCACCTTTCGTAGTTTGGATAGTGGGGAGAAAGGGAGAGAGCAGTAAGCTGTTAGCTGAGACAGGAACAGAGACACATTGAAGAACAAACTTCTGAAATCTGTTGCTCTCAAAAGTATTGTAGATTTGGAAAGCTTGCTTAAAATAAGGAAATCTGATTTTCAGAACAATATGTCTCAGCTTTCTCAAATGTAAGTGCTTTTTCTTGTGTTTAGGGTCACAGTGTTGTTAAGTAATGGAAGTGCTCTCTTCTTTTATATTCTCTGGACATACCAATTTGGATCAGCATTTATTCAAAGTTGCTTGTTGTGGCAGGTTTTCTGTGTTTGGGTTTTGTTGGGGTTTTTAATACTAGTAATTAGCATGAAAGTAAGCTCTCTCGTTGCCACCATCTGTTATCTATGGCTCTGTCCGATGCAAGATGTTTTCTCACTTGTACAAAATTAATGTGTTGGTGTAAAGTCTTCCAAAAATTCTCTTGGAACTTCTAAAGTTCATGGAATCCTACTGCAGTTTCAAAGACTAATTTTGGATTTGTGGGCAAATCATTGCATCTTGATGTGTATTGTTGGAGGAGTTGTAAAAAAAATTTTTAAATTGGGGGGGGAGGGGGGAAGGGGATTATAGGTAATTCTGCCAAACTGACTTTTATTTGAGAAAACTATTGACTGATTTTTCTGTTCTCAGGCATAAAATCCTAGCATGGTTTGGGTTGGCAGGGACCTTAGAGATCATTCAGTTCCAACCCCGCTGCCGTGGGTAGGGACACCTTCCCACTAGACCAGGCTGCTGAAAGCCCCATCCAGCCTGGCCTTGAACACTGCCAGGGAAGCGACTTCCACAACTTCTCTGGGCAACTTGTGCCAGTGTCTCATTCTGCTGTACGTGTTCAAATTTTTACTGGAGAGACAGAGGTGTTTTTTTTTCTGTGGCGATTTAATGTGAGGTTGTTCCGCAACACCACACACTCCACAC